GCTGATGAGCAAATCCTAAAGGCGATATACGAACAAGAGGCGATATGAAAAAATCTACAATATGTAGGACAATCTTTTCAATTTTTAATTTAATACTGTATAAAAGAGTGAAAGTAGACTCCGATTAGAGGAGTAAAGTACGGTGATAAAAAAACATGTTTTTAAAGAAAAGTTTTCTTCAGTAAATTTAGTGTTGGCTAGGAGTTTAATTTTCACATTATTAGGCTTTAAAAGATCATATGTAAAAAAGTTGAATTTGCAATAAAATTAGAAATTACTCAATTGTCGGAACTTTCTTTCAAGTATAGAACCATATACTATTTATATGGTAAAGTCATACTAAGGAGTAGCCATTCAATGACATAGAATATTTTGTATATTACTAAATATTTTGTAAAATACAACATTGTTTCGGTCATCTTGGGTACAAAGTTAAGGCTAAATTTGCCAACCTTTATGAAATAAGTTTAAGAAATTAATATAAGTGCTGTGGGATTCGTTCACTTAACATATGATTTTTTTTAATATGTGCCTCGTAATTTTATATCACGTTTTTAAAGACATTTTTTACAGTGTTTGTGCTAACCCAATCATATTTGACTCGGTAATCTGTTATAATATAATATAAGGTGTCTACAATTATTTTGAGATTTTTAATTAAATTTAATTCAAAAATTTTAAAGTTCAGAAATTTTAACTTTTATTTAAAAGAAAAATATTTAAAATCAAAATATAAAATAATTATCTCGAATTTTTTCAAGATTTCATCTTCTATTTTTGATTTTAATATAGCTATTAAAATACATATTAATATAAATAAAATTCGATGTATAAAAGCACATACTACTTCGATTTTATGCGTATAATACTTTAAATAATACAATTTATATTTGAAATCGTTACGAACATTGATTCTGATAGATGGCTTCATATATTTTAAAATTGACAAATAAATGTCAAACACTGTAGATATATTAATTTTAGTTTTCTACTTTTGTATAACAGTTTTAATACTGAAAAGCATTCCATTTATTATTCGCATTTATTTTTTTCATGTAAATGGAATATGCAAGCATCATTATAAATAATAATAATAATATTATTTTTATTATTATTTGAAAAAATCATAAACAAAAGTAAACATTTATAATTTTATGTACATATAAGGATTTTTTTTATATACATACTTATATGTAATTCTGAGCCCTTTTACAAATTTCTTTTTAAAATGCATATTTTTTTCTTTATTTTTGTTTTCTTCTTCTATAATTTTATTCTTTTAATAAATTTTTTATTGACTCTTTACAAGTGAAGTACTTTTCATTCAATAATAGCTGGAACAGTGAAAGAAGGAGATGGAAGACGAGGTGAGGAGTGGGTGTTTTTTACATTTAGTTTTCAATGTGCATTTTGCAATTTTATTTGCATTAAAAAATTATTTCATTTTTTCTTATTTTTTTGCATTTATTTGTAATATTTATTTAAAATTATATATTTTTTTTTCTATTTCAAAAATAAGTAGTATAAAATAGTTATATAATTATTTTGAGTTTATTCTATTTACTTTAGAAATATTATATAAGTTATACTTGTATAATAAGAATATTGAGAAGCATAAGAAAAAAAAAGAAGAAGATAAAAGTAAATATTTTGAAGTTGAATTTCTTGTTTTTCTGTTTTATTTTTTTCGTTTTATGAGAAAATTGCACTATACAAGATTGAAATACAAAATATAAAAAGAGTTTTTCTTTAACATTTGGTGAGTTTGCAGGTTAAAAATTGTTATACATTTTATTCTGCATTCATTTCAAATATATATGTATGTGTATTTGTATTAAATTTAACAATATTATAGTTTAGTATTATAATATAAGTATATAACTGTTATACTTGAATATATCTATATTAATTCATTTATATAGTTAACTCTATGTAAGTATACAAAAAAAATTTTCAATAAAATACAGAAAAAAAATTTACTTTTTATAAAATTAGAATTTAAGGGTGTTGCGCTGTTCTTTAAAGTGAATTGAATATATAGTTAGAATATATGGGTATATAAATACATAATAATATACTAAAATGCATTAAAATAAATTTAAGGATTCGTCAATGTATTCAAACATACTTACATAATACAAATACTATGTATAAGCATTATGTAATTTCTCTACATCTACTTCATTTATTTGAAATGAAATTTTATATAAGAGTATACAAAAAAGTCCTTTTTGCCCTTCTTTATTATTGAAGTACATATATGAGTGTTGTCTCTTATATATTTTAGTATACGTATACAATATGTTTTTTATATATTGATTTGAATTATTGATTTACAAATATTGTTATACTTTATTTTTATATTTTTTTTTTGTTTTTTAATCGTGTATTTTATAAATTAATTTTCAATGATTGTAACATTTTGACTTAATTTATATTTAATTTTTTGTTTCAGTTTTAATTGCAAAAAAATATATTTTATGTATAAAAGTTTGTTTGTTTGAATAGTTCTTATGTATATGTATGTGTATATTGAAAAATTGCATTTAAAAGAATTGCATTGTGTAGTTAATTATTTTAATTGTAATATTTACTATTTTGTTTGTGTACCTACATATCTGAAGACTGTTTATAGTGCACAATAGTGTTAAGTTAAAAATATTAAATTCGCAGGAGTTTTATAGTAGATTATAACAGAAAAGAGTTCTAGTATATTAGCAATTGTTTGTATTAAAAATCGATTTTTCATAATTTATTTCTTTAAAAATTCGTCGAAATTCTATTTAAGGGCGAAAATGTAATAGCAATCTGAATTTATACCTTGAGTAAAGTGCAGCAAACTAATTCAAACGATGAACTAATATTGAAAACGTCTCCAAAATGTATGCAATATTATGTGAAAATATTTTTAGAATTATTTCAATAATTATTGCTGTGATAATACAAGGTCCAAGTTATTTCAATAATAGTTTATAATTTAAATTTTTTTTTTTTTTCGTGTATGTTTTCAATTTTAAAATTAATTGAATTTAATTATAAATTCAGTATTATTTTATTGTAATATCAAATGTATTTGTAATATTACCAATTAATTTTACAATATTTTTAATTATTGCACTAATTTGCACTAATGCTTAAAAGACAATTTAATATTAACTTTTTAATATAACAATCAAAAATTTATACTACATTCGTTAATCACACGATCATTCTATAAAACAATTCTTAATTCTCGTTTAAGTGTTGAAACGTGACCTCTTTGGAATATAGGTATAAACAATTGAAAACTTTTACTAAATTTTAAAGAGCAAACTAACAAATTAGTGTACGAGTATAGTGAGATAAAACAAGCCCTTTTTCCAAAAAATTAAAAAGTTGAAAAAAATATTCAATTGAATTTTTTTTTTTAAAACAAAATAGCTAAAATACAAAAAAAAAATAAATAAATTTAAAGTACCCACTATCACACATCTATTTTATATTTTTTTATTACACAAATTATACAAAAAAAAAAATATTGAAATGCATGCATTACACAAAACTCACATTTAATATCATACATTAATAAAAATCTCATACTCACTTACAATCATTGATTTTACAATTTACGAGGCACATGTTAAAAAAATGTGATGTTAAATTTACAATTTACATAGAAGGGGTTTTTTTTATTCTCTGTCGTTTAGGTAATAGGGATGAATAGAAGAAATTTGTGGAAAAAAAAATTTAAATCTTCTCTATTTCTTTCTATTGAATAGTTTTAATATGGTCGTTTATTATTATCAGGGAAGATATTTGTTATACAGTTTTTTTTTTGGTGTAACTTAAAATTACCATGAATTTCATTTAATATATAGAACTAATTTCAGCCATATTTAATATTAAAAATTGCTTCACGTATAACTTATAATATAACAGTTCATTCATCATTTTTTTCAAAAGTTCTATTATGAGGTTCTTAAAAAGTTGATTCTATTATTAAATTTATGGCAAATATTAGAATTAATTAAAATTTCTCTGCTAATTGTTATACATTTTTGAAATATATACGCTTGTGTTTATATATATGTTTATGTAACATTTTAAATATATATGTTTGTGTAACAATTAAATTTGTATAACAGATTAAGTTAAATATTTCAGATAAACACTCATATATTTTGATAAAATGAAGTACAATTAACAATTAATCCCAAGGTATTATACAAATGGAAAAATTGCAACAAGTACAATCAAAAAACAAAAAAAAAAATATTTTTTTCCAGTTAAATGCAAATTTTTTAATTTAACGAAATTATTATTTTTTGCCTCAATATACACTTACATATATAACTTTAAAAAAACAAATATTGTGGATTCTAATCTAAAATTAATAATTTTAAAATTCTTATAGAAACACATTATGGCTTTGATTGAGAAAATAATTAGAGGATTGGAAAAAGACGAGCAAACGATATTCCTGAACTTGAAAATTATTTTAAATATTATATTTCAATATACATTTATAAATCTTAAAATATGCATATATTATAATATATATATAAAACTATAAAAAAATATTCCTATTAGGATATTTGAGAATGTTTTAACACTAATTTTGAAATTTTAGACCAGGACTAGTCCTATTATATGCAAATTCTTGAACAGATATAGAATCTATTTGTTATACTAAAAATTTTTTTTATATAATACCTAATATACATTGCAAATGTGAAGAACAAAATGTTCTTAAATTTTTTTTTTTTAAGTCTTTTAATTTCAAACTTTTATACATAAATTTTAAGTGTTTTAAATTAAATATACAAATATTGCAGTTTTGTATAAGTGTTCTATATATATGATATTCTTATGTAAATGTTTCGGAATAGAATAGATTTCAAATTATTCAAAAATATTATGTAGGTCAAGAGATAGAATCATATTATTCATAATAATAGTACTTAATAATGAAAACCACAAATTTAAAGAATAAATAAATAAAATAAATAAAAATTACTCACCTAAAAAATCAATTCACCATAATTCCTCCTTTTCCATTTGAAATAATTAAAAAATATTTTTTTTTTATATAGAAATAAAAATATTTTATATTTTTTTTGTTCACAATATTTTTGATTTGTTTTTTTTAAATTTTGCACATTATATAAAATCCTGTTTGTTTGCTTGCTCTTTCTTTAATTTTATTTTATTTTTATGAATTCTAAAATAAATGTTTGTTTTTTTTTTATTAATTAAATTAAATCCTTGTTTTAATTTTTTGTACATTAAAAGAATCAATAATGAAAAATATTGTTTTTTATCAAATGTACAATTTTTTTTATTAATTAATTTTCATGGTTTCTGTTTCTATTTATTTTTAATATAACACTTTTTTGTTAAATATTTTATTTTAAATTTTATTGATTTTTCTTTTCCATCCTTTAATTTCACATAATGAAAATGAAAATTTATTATGTTCTGCTGTTATATTTCGTGGTTTTCGATTATTAACTATATATTACAATATAAATATTATATAAGATTAAATTATATTATAATTATTTAAAAAATATAAACAGAAATTTAATAATTCTATATTTGAATTTAAATTTTTGATTATAATAAGTAATAATATTATAATAAACTTATATATTTTATTTAAAAAAGGGGAAAAACGATATACGCGAATTTATTCAATTATTTTTCAATAAATTATTTTCAATAAATTTATTTATTTATTATTTAATTTTTGTGTTTCATAAAATTGCGATGTTTTGGTTTTAGTTTGATGATTTCTTTAAATTTATTTTAATAAAATTAATTTTGGTATTTATTTTAATAGCTTTGATTTTTGAAATTTTTATTTCAATTCTGTGTTCTTATTTGTCCGGGATTTCAACTTACTTATGTAGTTTTTTTAATATTTTTTTGCTGCTACTGGCAAAAATCGTATAAAAGTATAAAAAAAATTATAAAAACATGAAGACTTTTATTTATTATTTTTAATATTATTTTTAAATATTGTTTCCTTTTTTCCTTGAGTTTTTTTCCTAATTCACTTATAATAAGTTTTTATAACAGTTTTTTTAATTTTCTTATTTGTATTTAATTTGTATTTAATTTAATTTTTTAATTTTTTTAAGATATTTATTTTAATATTTAATATAAATAATTTTTACTTACTTTATTTAACACAAATTTTCTTTTGTTATAATTTGTTAATTTATAATTTATTCGTTTTATTTATTTTTTATTCTTCTGATATGGGTTTTAAATATTAAGTTTTTTGTTTTACATAAATAAATTTAATTAATTTATAAGTTAATTTAATTTTCTTTTTTTTCCATTTTTAATTTATGAAATTCACATTCAATTAAATTTTAATTAAATAATATGCAAGAGTGTTTAAAAAAGTAAATATTCTTTTCTTGTTGATTCTTGTGGATTCCAAATATCTTATTATTATATTTCGATTTTTACATAATTGAGGGTATAAAAAATTTTAAGTTTTAAAATACACAAAAAAACCAAAATAAATAATTTTTTATCACAATAGCTTTTGATTTGTTAATAAAATAAATTAAATCTGTTATACTGCAGTATACCAATAATTATTTCTATGAAATATAAAAATATTTAAAAAACGAAATTAAAATATTAAATGAAAATCGCAGATTTTGATGGTTTTTTTTTTTAAATTAACAGTAATTGTTGTATAGAACCGGTTAATAGTAGTCCTTTAATGTTATATAGAACAGAAATGATCTATTGTAGACAGAACAAGTCAATATTATATTAATATTTTTTAATATTTAATTTTTATATAGATATTGGAAAATTTAATTTTCACAGTTCTTTTTAATAATTACAAATTTCTCTCTTAATTAATAATTTCTTATATTAAAATGTTATTTATACACACTTTATATATTTTAAAATTGTTATACTAATTTATTATTAATTTTTATTATATTAATTTGAATATAAAAATTATTTTATTCACTATTATCTATATATAATGATTCTTATTTAAGATTTTAAATTTATTATTGTTAATATTTTGTAATTTAATTTATTTATATAGAATAGCTATAATATATAAAAATAAAATGAATAAATTAAAATGCAAAATACACAAAGATTGCTTTTAGATTTTTTTTTGTTTTTAGAAAATTTGAGTATATTTTGTTAAGTTTTTTTTTTATAAATTTTGAATATTAAAATTTTAATTTAAAATTTAATTTAATATACACATAAAATTGTTATATTAATGAAAATTTACAATTAATTTTTATACTGTTATATAAAATTATTTACACAGGTGAATGTTTTTCAATGTTTTTTTTTTCTTGAAAATTTTATTTGTTTTGAAAAATTTTAAAACATATTTTTTTCTCGGTTTGATTTGCTTGTTTTTATATTTGTATTATTTATGTTTAAAATACAATGTTTTCTTATACATTTACCGTAATCTTTATGTTGTTAGAACATTTAATTGTTCTTAGTTTAAATTTCTTATTTTATAGTTATAAAATTTATTTTTAATATAATTTTTTTTAATATTTCAAATAATTTAATGAAATTTTTATGTTTTTTATTATTTATTTTCGTGTTTTTTTATTTGTTTTTGTGTCAAAAAGTCAAAAGGCGGAAAAGAGAAGAAACACAGAGAAATATTTTAATGAACAATTATTTTGAAATTTTGTTTATTTTGTGTGTTTTTTAGGAGAAGGAACCAAAAAAAAAAACGAGAATATTTTTGCACGAGAAAGAGAAAATAAGGTTTTATTTATTTTAAAAAATTAATCAATTATATATGCACATACACACATGTATTTTATATTTTTGTAATTATATTATTGTAAATTATATTATTTTATTTATATTATTTGGTTTTTTTTTTGAAAACTTTATTTTTTGATTTTTTATTAAAAAAATATTTTTTATTTTTATTTTAGAAAATTTTTATTTTAAATATATATATATATATATATTTTTAATATTTTTTGTTATTTTTTATTTAATTTTATAATATTAATAATTTAAATATTACAATATAAATATGAAGAAATTTTTGGCGTGCGCTGCGTTCAATTGTTGGTACAGTATTGAAAAAACAGAAAATACAATTTTTTGATGTGGAAAAATATTATATTTATTTATTTTTTTTTGTTTTTACTTTTTACTTTTATACATATATTTTGTTGTTGTTGTTGTCGTCGTCGTAGTATTCTTTAAGTTTTTCTTGTTCTCTTTTTTTTTTATTGATATTATTTTAATATTTTTGCTCTGCCCGTCGTTATAGAACACTCAAACACAACTCAACTAATATTAGAGACGATTATTGTTGAAAAACTTTATGTGACTGCACAACAAAAATATTTTTTTCTCAACTTAAAGTATAGAATATAATGATAAAAAAAAAAACGAAATAAATAAGAGAAACAGAAAAAAACAAAATTAAATGTACCTATAACTAGAGTACATAAAAACTAGATAAAATAAAAAAACAAAAATGAAAAGAAAGCAATATGTATGTATATAAAAAAAAAAATTATATACAAAATTTGTGTATAATATGTATGAATGAATGTAATATGAAATTGGAAAAAAAAAACAAATGAGAGAAGAGAGTGAGAAAGATGAGATAGGAAAAAATAATATAATATTTATTAAGCATATAAATGCATACATTAAATTCTTTATATACTTACTATATAATATAAAAGTTTTCTCAGTTCTTACTCGTATAAAAATTTCTATCCAATATATAGGTGAAATTTTATTATTGTCAGTGTATTTAATGTTCTGATATATTATATTTGTATATATGTACTATTTATATATATAGGTACAAGCAAATAAGCAAAAACGAAATAGAAACAACAGAAATATGAAAATATATTTTGTTTTATTTTTATATTTTCTCTCATTCTCATATTTTATGTAGAAGAAGAATTAGATAGATTTTCACAACCCTTGAAAGCTTTTTATCTCTAAAGTTGTACACATAATGTATTTGCTATATTTATATATGTACGTTCCTTAGATATATATATATATATATATATTATGTATTTATAATATTAAAATTTATATTCTTAATTTTGTTTTCTTTTTTTGTAGAATAATATTTCGGTTTTAATATGTATATTTTTTGAGTACCCAATGCAGCTATACTTCTCAATAATAATATTCTGTTCTCATTTTATAAATAATATTATTATATTCTTATGAGTTGTACTTATAGTGCTTAACTTAACTGCACTATATATTGTTGTCTGCTTCTCCTCTCATCGCAAAAAAAAAATATATATATATATATATATATATATGTATGATTATTTACATTCTGAGTTATTTTTGTTATTATTTCTGTTTTTCTTTTCTTAGTTCTACTTTTATTTTTGTTATTTTTCTGTTTCTCTCATTTTCTTCCTCTCTCTCTCTCTCTTTATTTATTTTGTAAATATATGTATATATGAATTATTTTTTATATTTTTATATAATATAACAATTTATATTTTGCATTTTTAATATACAAAAAAAATAGTTTTTTTTTAAATTCGTTTTTATTTTCTATTAATTTGAATTATAGAATAGAGTTGAGCAATAGTTTTTTATTTTTTAATTCAAAATTAAATACAAAATTGCCATATTACTTTGTTTTTACTCAAGTGCTTGTAGAACGTCTTGTAAATTGCAAATTATTTAAGAGTTTTTAGTTGATTTAATTACTAGGAAAGGAACAACTACCGCTTATGACAGTTCCCTTATATCCCACTTATTCTATTACAGTCCTATGTAAATACCCAAAGATATATCTTAGGAAGCTGGATCTGAGCTATCTGGTTTCTTACGACCAGAGAAGGATAGTCAAATAGAATACGTATGTCTGTCTCTTCATCATCCCGACAGAATCTACACAAATGAGAATTTGATTCACCTATATCATTGTCGGTGATGGTGGAACATAATTTCACTTAGTTACATTTGAGGACATACCATCATATTATTATTGAAAAATTGTTACACAATACACAAGGTGACTACGTCTTTAAGTTCAAGGCTAATAACACATAGCTTATCTCGTTATCTCTTAATTTTCTTACATATATATAAAATGAACTGTTCATTATAGAACACAAATCAGGGTTCCACCAAAATTTTTCTCCTTTTGTAACGCTGAACTTTCTTAGTATACTGAGATATTATGTAGTAATTTTACTACAATTTCAATGTACGTGATATTTTTCGCATTTTATTCTGTATAATATTTTCTTTTCTCTCAAATTTAAATAATACTTTCTTTCCTTTTTTCACATTATACAAATATTATATACTTTAATTGTATTTCTCTCAATTTTAAAAAATACATAAGAAAAACCAGAAAAAATATAAAAAAAAAAATAAAATTTGAATATAAAAATAAAAACAAAAAAATTTTGATTTTCCACAAATGTGTGTTACTAGTGTTGTGTAAAATCTCAAGTACACAATTATTATTCGTAATATATATAAATTTATTTAGAGTAAATGCGTGTATATAAGTTAAATATGTACATACATTACCTATATAAATAAATTTTAAAGTTGTCTTTAAAGAGAATGAGAAAATTGAAAATATTTTTTCTTTAATGTAGGTTATTGTGTAATATTTTATATTCTTATATTTTTATGTATGCATATACACTATTGTATACAAAAACAGAGAGAGAGAGGGAGAGATATTTAAAAATTTTCTTTTAAAAAATCTCATCACACATGTTAAATTTGTGAGAACGCATGTACATATGGGCCTATAGAGTATTTTTATATTTTTTATTTATACATGATTTATATAAGTGTTTAATTATGTATTTAATATACATATTTAAATTATATAAGTAAAGCTTTTTCTCATATTCTCAATGAAGAAATGAGGAAGGAATGAAATAGAAAATAGGCCGTGAGAATTATTTTTTTTTTTTATGTTTCATAGCTGTTCGCTCGTGTTTATTACGGTTATACTCTTTTACCCTAAATTTCGTTATTATTTTGCTCTCTTTTTTTTTTCTTTTTTGTTATTATAAAAGGATCCAGAGGGATTTTCGTAATATTGGATTTTATTTGTATTTTCATTTTACTTATTTTGATTTCTGATAGGAAAAGAAACAGAAAAAAAACAACACTGCCTAATGATTATTGTTAAAAAGAAAAAAAATAATGAAAAAAATAAAAATTAAGGAAAAAAAGTAAAAAAAGAAATGTAATAAATAAATAACCAGTGTTCGTTATGTTTTTTCACATATTTTTCTTTCTTCTATATAAAATTTTTTAAAAATTACATTTTACATTTTTTAAGAAAAATGTATGAATTGAATTTAAATTGTCAGTTTGGCTAACTTATTTTTGAGATAGCGTATTTGTTGTATTATACGAGCGACACATAACATTAATTTTGGACAGGGACAAATTTTTGTTAACAATATTCCTATTAAATAGGAAAATTCCTGGATAATATCTAATTTGGTTTTCAAGTTGACCTAATTTGGAAAAATATTTGTTTCTAGATATTGTAGTTGCTTTCCGTATCTTTTCGATTTTTTCTTGCATCATAATATTAGCTAACATCTTTCAAAGCCATTTTTCATGTTGTTACGAAAAGCATGGTTAATTATTAGGAACAAAAGCAGTCTATGAATAAAACTTAAAGAATTCCTCAAAAGTTTTTCTATAGTAACCAAAATGTTCTTCTTCAAGAAATCTCAATAATTTAGTTTATCAGAAAGTCAACTAACAAAAGTGTTACGGCTCCTTAAAATCTTATATTGAGCGTCTTTCCAAATAAAATTTTGAAGAAATTACTTTGAACCCGCCGTGTACAACGTTCTCTGTGTACTAGTCAACAAAACACATAATATTCTGCGCAAAAACAAAAAATTGATCTAAATCTGTTTTTATATCAATTAAGTTTAAATTTTATCATAAATTAACTTCGAAAAATGTTGTATTTACTGTTACAAATTTGATATTAATTCTTAATAATCACAGAAATATCATTTTCGAGCTTAAACCCCAAACAAAAGTACTGTAATTATGTTGAAAAACAGTTCTAATTAAATTTTAACAAAATTTCGCCTAAATATATGCAATTCTATTTGAAATTAATATTTAAATTAATATTAGTTAATTATAACTTCAAAACTTGCTTAATACAATTACGAAATGTAGTAAGAAATGTATTTTTCATTTTGATTACACTTTATTCTATTATTACCTTATTTATTTGATCGTTTTGTTAAATGACAGCCCGATAAGATTAATTATATTTTATATACAAACATTCATATATATTTATTTTTATATTATTTTACATGAATGTGTGTAAAATAAGAATAATTCAAACAATACTAAATTTATTATATTGTGTATAGAAGATAACCTATACCTACATTTTTAGAAATGAAATGAATTTTCCCATTCAACAGTGAGGGTACTAGAAATTGTTTAGTTTTTTTTTTTCTTGTTTGTTTACGATTGAAATAAATTAAGATAAATTTTTACAAAAATTATACACAATAAATAATTTAATTTTTATTTTTGTATTTTTTTTCCTGTTATTTTACCATACACACGTGCATATATATATTAAATGTAGAGTTTTTGATATTTAATTTATTTTTGATATTAATTATGTATGTAATTTAGTCAAGTAAAATTAAAGTAGGGTGCTAATATGGAAATGTTATACAATGTCCTTGTTAATCTTGAGAGCAAAAAAAAAAATATAACGGAAAACAATAAATATTGTGAAGAAAAAAAAAATTTATTATAATTGAAAACTTTGGCTCTCAATCAAACATAATAGCGAATGTGTTGGGAAAAAAATTTCTCGATTATAGAATGTTTTTTCCTACTTGTTAAATTTTGTTTTTTGTAATTTATTTTTCTGTTTTTGTAAAATTTTTTCATAAAATGGATTTAAATCGAATCACATGAAATTTTTCGATTAAAGGTTATGTACAAAATTAAAAGAAAATTATGCCTTAATTGGTAAAAATGTAATGATTTTGTTGGAACTTTAAACTATACTTACTAATTCCTTAAGATGATTTAGTATTATGACTTCCAATCAAGACTTTTCTACGGACCAAAGATAATATTACAGTTTTCAGGCTGGAATACCAGTTTATTGTTTTTTTTTTTCTAAATTTTTGTTCCAATTCAGAGGAATACATTTGGTTTTTCCAATGAAAATAGCCTTGAATTTGTCGACAATTTCATCAACAATTTTCCGGGAAAATAATGTGGTACACTTGTTTGAAAATTCTTTGGTATGCCTTGAATATTGATGTTGGAAATTTCAAACTACTTCA